GTGAAAAGGTGTGGAGTCAGAGTAAAAAAATGTGCATGCCCAGGAGAAGACCAGTGGCTGGAAGTTGGATGGGATTTCACAGGCAGCTGCAGGGAAGTAGGCTGCCATTTTGCTGGCGTTTTAGTGGGAACGGCCATTTTGACCCTTTGTTATGAAAAGTAGGGCTAGGGGCTGTATTGATGTTGTGCTATGGTGCTCAGATATATTTGTCTTTATTCTGTAATTCATAACAAACATATTCTCTTATTCAGACCCTTTCATAGTTTGTTGAATTCCTCCATCATGAAACATTGTTTACTTTCTAAGAATACATGAATACACCAATTTAAGATTTTAAGGAGTCATGCACTTCTAAATAATAGTATAATACATTTAATATGTATTATTGCTATATATGTTAAGCTTAGCACACCACTTATTTTTAGATCGTATCACGTTACTGTCAGGACTCCTGTTTTGTGTTTCTGTGTTTGTCTCCCTTCATCCACCAGGAGGCGCCTGGTTCTGGTCCGCCTCCTCACACACCTGCGGATGGTTTCCTCGTTAAACGGAGTGTTCTTAAGCTGCTGACTGCCACTTCGACGCCAGAGTGTTTGCCAGTTTAGGGTACTCTAGCTAAGCTGAGTTTGCTGAGTCAAGCTGAGTTTTTGTCAACCTGAGTTTAACTTTGTTTTGTCCTGCTAACTGGATCTCTCGGACCTTCACATCCTGGAAGGATCTACTGAGCTTCAAAATGCAAAAGTCTTTGAGCAATATTTTCAAGTCTGGACTTTGTTGGACTTTGTTCCCAAACTAAACTGTCCCTCAAAATCTATTTTGAACTACCTAGGCTGATTGGAAACAAGTAATAATACCCACAGCCAGCCTGAGAGCTGGACCCTGCAAGCCTACAGCAGATAAACAATGATACCTGGAAAATGCAGGAATTATCTTTCCAACAATGTCAGTGTATTTTATAATATACCTAAGCATAAAAAAATTAGTGGTGTATTTTTTTTTATATCAAATAATATGATTAAATTCCACAGCTCTTAAGCGGATGTATCTGGAATATTAAAATTGTCAAAGTTAGAAAGAACTGAAACGGTAATAAAATGATTAACAATCTGTATGCTGAAATGTAAACACGTTATTTCAAAGGATTTAAAGAGAACTAAAAAAACTCAATCAAAATAAAAAAACGTTTTTCTTTTCAACCGTTATAAAAAAAAGTTAAGATAAATGGGAATTTCATACAATTTTGTCACATTGTATACACATTTTTATATTTCAATACTGCAGAATGTTGGTAACAAAAAGAAAAAAAAACATTTTAATTAAACAAGTATAAGTATATATAATGTTCTCTGTGTTAATCTACTGAAACCCAAAATAGAAAAAAGGACAATGTCCAGGACAAATCAATGTTGGGGAAAACAAAATAATCTGTATGCAATTAAACCAAATACAACACATTGGTACATAAAAGTTATGGCATGTTTAAAAACAAGCTATACTGAACCTTACCAGCTACAAGAAAACAATAATCATGGAGGCTGTCAATGATTGATTGATTGACTTTATTGATCTCACAGTGGAGAAATTTACTCTTTACATCAGCTAAAATTTTAAAAAAGAGAAGAAAATGGTGCCAATGGTAGAAAAATTCATTTTCAATTTAATTAGGTTTATTTCTATAGCGCCGATTCACAACACATGTCATCTCAAGGCACTTTACAGTTCAACCAGATCGTACAGTCAAATTGATTCAAAGTTTTCTATCGAAGGAAAACCACATCTGTGGCCTTGTAATTTAGCGACAATGGAGAAGCAATAGGATTGCAAGCTATCCGTGCCTCTTTGCTCAGGAACCTTGTGAAATCTGGATAGTTTCCAGATGTGTCAAGTTCCTCTATAACAATCCGACTCCACTTGCGCACAATCCATTCTGGTAGTTTTTTTGAGCAACTTGTGTTTTTCCTCACAATCGTTAAGGATAGCTAGTCCTTTGACGTGTGGGATCGCCTCAGTGCAGCCTTGGAGGAAGTCAGCCAACTCTTGTAGTGCTAGTGGGTCGTTTGTGTTGATCTTTGGCCATTTCATGAGATTATCTCGGAAAGCTTTTTGTATGATGAACGGGTTCCTATATCTGTCCTGTAAGACTTACCTTGCTCCATTGTATGCGTTCTCTGAATCTCGATAGAAAAAACTTCTACTGCCTTACGTGCCTCTCCCGCAAGATCATTTTTTAGATAAAACATTTTCTCACTTGGTGGGAGGGGTTTTCTGTCAATAAGAGTTATGAATGACATCTTCCAATCTGTGTACATTAAAGGGTCGCCGCAGAACGTGGTTGGTTCAGGGACAGGAAGGCGGTTCTTGCTTAATGAGCTGGCAATTGCTTGTGCTAGACTGACAGACTCTTGAGTCACTAGCTACGGTTACATGCGCAAAATTTCCCCGATCCGATCCAAACCTTGGTTGATCGGAAATTCAAAATCTCTGTTTACATGGACACTAAATGAAATGATCCGATCATGACGTGTGTATACATGTACCAAGCGTTGGATCAGATTAAATCTTTTAAGCATGCGCAGAACTTCCTGCCAAACTTGGCAGTTCTGTCTGCGTCTGGTTTTTGGGCGGCCTGACAAACGATGCGCTCGGAGCGAGCGGAAAGAAAAACGGAGAGAGGAGGAAAAAAGCGCTTGGCAGCGAAATGTCCGAGAGAAAATGTAGAGAATGAGCAATTGAACCGGCGTGGGAGAGCGAGTGGGCTGTGGAGAGAGAAAAGAGGAAGAGGAGGAGGATAAATTCCTGCTTCCTGCAGCTTTAAATGAACTTGAGTGTATAAGTCGGCGTTCCTAGACTCCTCCCGCCATGTTGTTCACAACAAGAGCGAGAGCGACCGGTGGTTTCCTGTTGTTGACAAGGCGGAAAAACGTCACGCTGACGTCGCACACATGCGCAGTGAAGATTATTTAACTCTTAAGATCCGAATGGGTGTTTACATGGACGCCAATCGGAATGGCGATCGGCAAAAACCACCTCTCTCATTCGGAATTAAATTTAGATCCGATCGGACCGAATTGGATTAGAATCTTCAGTCTGACATGTTTACATGAAACATTTTTGATCTGATCAGGCCTTCAATCCGATTAGTTGTGTCCATGTAAACGTAGCTAGTGTCACTTCGGGAGCAGCTTGGTGTGTTTGGAATGATGCAGCATTGGGGTTTAATGGAGGTTTAGTTTCCGTTCTGTAGTAAGATGAGCTATTTTCGTCATTAATCGCCTCTTCATGGTTCTCAAAACCTTCAAAATTGTCATCTGCTCTCACACGAGCTGCTGCTATAGCAACATCCTTTGTTGCTTGTAACTGCAGCAGTTTTGCTCTCTCTTGTTCCAACTGTTGTTGCATTTCCACCTCCTTTTGTTGCATTTCTGACAACATTTTTGCCTCTTCAAGTTTCCATTCTTGATTTATAGTCTCTAGATGGTTATATATGAGGTCACAAGTTTCCTTTGTTAGCGTAACACAGGCATCCATTTTTTTTTTTTTTTTTTACAATAGACCTTTTTCACACTTCCGGGTTTTAAAGCGGATGTGGGGTTTGACAACTTCCGGTGGCTATAGCGTTAGCATAAAAGTCTAAGAAAATGGCTCAGTCTCGGCGCAGTTGTTTTTGTTCTGTACCTGGTTGTTCATGTGGGGCAAGAAAACAGCCATATCTGTCCTATCATGCATTCCCGACGGACCCAGACCAACGGAGGGAGTGGATCCACGCGATCCGAAGAGATGAAGGTCCCAACTTTTGCATAAAGACAGGGAGCACTTTTGTATGTAGCCGACACTTCACACTGGAGGATTTTGTTAGCGAATCCCCCACCAGCCGCCTTAAAAGTGGAGCTGTTCCTTCCCTTTTCACCTGGAATAACTTTACTGCACCAGCAACAAGAGAGTCTGCTTTCGAGAGGGCTAACAAACGCCAGTTTGTCCTCTCTCAGAAAGCTAGCCAGGCTGAAAATGCTACGCTGGACCATGATTATGTGGCACATCTACCCGCAGGTAAACATCAAATTAAGATACTATGTTGTATACATTTGGCATGTAAGATAATTTCAGTCAAATATAACTATTGCTATAATTTTATTATTATGTTTACATAATGAAATAATTGCTAATTGATTATGTGGTAGTTATGTATTTTGTGCTAAATAACTACCACAAAAATGTGGTAGTTATGTAGCATTTTTTGTGGAGATTATGTATATACATACATGCTCCAACTCATATGTATTGATCTTCACATAAGTAATGTTAAATTTATATAATTAAAACTTCTCGCCAACCACATTTTTTATTTTATTTTATGGTTTTACAGCTGCACTTGATGAAGCTCTGGATTACATCAAGGAGTTGGAGGCCAGACTTCAAAAAGTGGATTAGTCTACCACACTTTTTAGCCGCTACTGTGCCTCTGATGACCAGATCCGATTCTACACCAAATTTCCATCTGATTGTGTGTTCCGGATCTTCTGGGAGTCCATTGCACCCTCTGCATCACGCCTGGTGTACAGGACCAGAGCACAGAAGCATGGAGAGGAAGCCTGTGCTGAAGCCAGCCCTGCCACTGTTAATTGTTGTAGTGCTATGTAAAAAGTTATTTAAATGACAAGACTAAAAAAAGATATTCAATAAAACACACTTGAGCAGCATACTGTACTTTTTTTGGTATTTTCTTGTTTAAGTGGAATGGCAAGGAAAACAAATCAAGTACAATTTACAATATCTAAAAACAAAAAACCCTTAACTATTTCATATCTTATAATTGTACACCATACTGATTTAAATTATCCTGCAAATTAATATTTATCAAATCTAAACAACAATAGTTGCAAATACTTAAGACAACCTTAAGAAGAAGCAACTTTAAAACAAAGGTTACAAGAAAACTGCAGTTAAAACTATTTTTTTTTAAATTATGCAACTGCCTTTTAAAGGAATTTGCACATCTGTTGAGACATAGGTGAGCCCTGTGGCACAGGCCCAAATTTGGATGGAACCAGCTCCAAATTAGAAAGACCATCTAGGACAAGAGCGATAAGTGGTGGGGACTCCAGCTGCCGTAGTTTTTCTCCTGATGCCAGAATGTCGGGATCTGGAAGCGGCCCTACACACATCAGAAACAAAATAATAATAATCATACTAACTTTTGACAAAGGAAACATAGGTACAAAAAACTAAACAAAAAGTTGTACCTGTGTAAGCTCTGTAAAGTGTGGAGTGCAGATATCTTTTCCCCATAGTTTTGGGCTTCCGCACCACCATGTCGCTGACAGGTTCAGGATGTATCCCCTTACAAGAAATAGACAACAAGATATGTCAAATTAAAGAAGAAATAAAGGGATGGGTGAGCAATTTGTTATGACATAATGGGACTGATTTGGCAGTTTAGACTTTTACCCAACTTGCAAATAAAACTAAATGATAGCAGTTGGGCCAGTATTTTTTTCACTACCTAAAAAAAAATGTCAAAAAAATGATGATAAATTATATTTAACACAATATTAATAGTACAACAAATTTTATATGGTACTTATAAAATACAGGTGGTAAAGGAACAGAAATGGCTGCGCGACACAATCAAAGGAGAAATAAATTGTTTACATAACTATAGTACTGTTATTTTAAGTATATATATATATATATATATATATTCAATTTAGTTTATGTAATATATTTAGCATATTGTAGGATATGACGTACCATAGGACAATGTGTTCCACTCTTTTTTCTTTTACCAGTGTTCTTGGTCTGTGCCATCTTTGTAACTCACTAGTGCAGGCCAGTGCAGCATGAACATTTGGCAGCTGGAGTTGGGAGTAGTGTGCAGTCTGGTAAAGAAGTGCAACTACATGATTGCAAAAACATTTACCAGCTGCACAGCTACAGGAATAATCCAACAATTCTGCCTTTTCTTTTCCAACACCCAGTGATATCTAAAACAGAGAAGTGTTTTAGCAACAAATTTGTACATCAATACATTTAGCATGTTTAGCTTTAAACACGTAATATATTCTAGTTTGAAGGTAAGGTTCAACAACAGCAGAAAGAAAACACAGATTATGTTGCAACCGCAACAGAAACATAAAACAAATAGTAACAACTGAACAGGAAAATGTTAGAATAAGCTCTAAGTAGTCCAGAAGTCGTACGTGAAAGTTCTTCAGCCGTCAAACATGAACAGGAACTCGAACCAACGAACAAGAGCCAACCGGCTTTCTGACTGTTTCAAACCTGCAGCTTGTGCGGTTCCTCATTTTTCTTCATGGATCTGAAGCATCTAGCTCTGACAACTACCTGTCCCTCGACAATATTTGACACTACAGGCATGCAGAAGTAAAGCATAGTTTCAACATCAAGCATCATCTAGAATCTCAGAACTAACATAACATTCTAGCATGCTGTTTTTCACAAACTGTAGTAGCAAACAAATTTCAGAATGTCAAAGTATAACTGAAAAGTTTAAACTATGTCCGTCTCCAATATTCCACATAATTTAGATACTAAGTTAGGCTTCATTACGATGTTTGTGTAGCTCATATCTTGCAGCTAGCGGTTAGCTCGCTAAGCTACGTCTTTTCTTACCTTGATAGCTGTGGATATATTCTTCGTGGAAGAACTTGTATCCTTTCACAGATTTGTTGGTGGGGGAATTCGCCGCAGCGATTTCCTCCGCATCCGCGAAAGAAAGTGTTGGCAAACTAAGTAAGGATGACGAAAAGCACCGGAGGAGAGACATTTTTCAGAGTAAAACAGGAAGTGCTCCAGCCCTTTCAGACGCAGCTTTCGGTTGTCGTGAAAAAGGTCTATTTCTGGTGTGGTGTTACTGTTACGTAGGATAGGTTCATACTGCTGGTCTACATCCTCAAGCTTTGCTTGAATGTCTAGCTGTAATTCATTAAGGTCTTCCAATGAACAGAGGGTTTTTAGTTTTGTCCTCGTCTTCCTTGCTACCTGCTTCCAAGAGTCATAGGTTTTTTTAAATGCTTTCTCACGTTTTTTGATGTCTTGGTCATGCATCTCTTGGCCTTTCTCTGTAAACTTTCTTTCGCGTGAACTGGACCTGAATGGTGTATCTTTAGGATCGTCTGTCTTCTCTGTCGGGAGTGACGTCTTGTTTGTTTGTGTTGCTGCTTTAAGTCGAGTGTAGCCTTTGATTGTCCTATGCCTGAATTTACACTTGTAAGCTGTAGTTATCTTTCACCACAGAGTAATATTTATGTCAAGCATTAACAGATTATGGATGTAAAAGGATTTTTAGCAAAACACAGTAACAACAAAATGTCAGAAATAAGCGCTGCAAGCATTAATATCTAAAGCACTTCCCTTTCAAACCTTTTCATAAGTTTCACAAATTATTTTGGCCATGCAATACCATAAGTCGCTTCAGTTATGTTGTGAGCTTGCGTGCGTATTTTCCCTTTTTTTTTCAGTCTTTTTGCATTTGTAGTTGTACCTTAAGCATGCTGTCCATTTTAAGTTTTGCCTGGATGCAGGAGTTGGATGCGAGCGAAGTAAACAGGCTGGTATCAGGTTGGTTGGACCTCGGATGTGATGGCGTCAGCTTCTCACCGGAGATGGCAGGGATGGCGAGGCTGGTGCAGCGATGAGTTTTCATTATAGCGGCCCCTTGGATTTATTAATCAGACGCAGAGAGTTTCATACAGGTGTTGGTTTATTTCGTTTTCTCTCAACGAGCACCATGCACTACACCATTAACACCGTGAAAACTAGAAAAAGAAAAAACAGAAGAAATACAAAATACTTCTCTGTAGTTTGACATCTAACGAACACATAAATCATGTTCAAATCTTTTCATACCTCATTCCGCTCTCCAAGGGCGCTAATCAGAGTTTCTTCCATCCGCTAGCATGCTCTCTAGCTAGACACGCTCTCACAGCTCGGAGCTCTTACAATTAAAAGGTACGAACAATACAAATATAATAAATGAAATCACAATGCAAATCTTACTTTACAGGATTCAAACAGATGAACACGATAGATATAATTGAATTGAGAAAGCTTCCTGGAGAGGTGGCGAAACGTCTTCAAATCTTGAAAACCAAGTCCAGTGGATATTTTTTGAATTTTTACGGAATGACTATGACCTGGATGACTGAGAACCTTCATCAGCATAGATATAATGTACTTTTAAAGTTTTACCATTTCTCTCACCGTGCGTGAGCGCGGCATTAGTAACATCACAAAAACACCAGAAGAAGAAGAAGACAGTGCTCTTCAAAATAAAAGCAGCACAAACCAAAAAGAATCACTGTAGAACCACAATGTTTTATGAACACATAAATAATACTATGTAGGAGAATATAAAAGCCATTTTGTCAGACATTTACACCAGTATCCTAGATACTGGGTCTGTGATATACTCAATAAATAGCTACGTTTACATGCGCAAAATTTCCCCGATCCGATCCAAACCTTGGTTGATCGGAAATTAAAAATCTCCGTTTACATGGACACTAAATGAAATGATCCGATCATGACGTGTGTACACATGTACCAAGCGTTGGATCAGATTAAATCTTTTAAGCATGCGCAGAACTTCCTGCCAAACTTGGCAGTTCTGTCTGCGTCTGGTTTTTGGGAGGCCTGACAAACAATGTGCTCGGAGCGAGCGGAAAGAAAAACGGAGAGAGGAGAAAAAAAGCGCTTGGCAGCGAAATGTCCGAGAGAAATGTAGAGAATGAGCGATTGAACCGGCGTGGGAGAGCGAGTGGGCTGTGGAGAGAGAAAAGAGGAAGAGGAGGAGGATAAATTCCTGCTTCCTGCAGCTTTAAATGAACTTGAGTGTATAAGTCGGCGTTCCTAGACTCCCCCCGCCATGTTGTTCACAACAAGAGCGAGAGCGACCGGTGGTTTCCTGTTGTTGACAAGGCGGAAAAACGTCACGCTGACGTCGCACACATGCGCAGTGAAGATTATTTTACTCTTAAGATCCGAATGGGTGTTTACATGGACGCCAATCGGAATGGCGATCGGCAAAAACCACCTCTCTCTTTCGGAATTAAATTTAGATCCGATCGGACCGAATCGGATTAGAATCTTCAGTCTGACATGTTTACATGAAACATTTTTGATCTGATCAGGCCTTCAATCCGATTAGTTGTGTCCATGTAAACGTAGCTACTGTTGCCCAGTTCTGTGAGCAAAATGAGACTGAAATGTATTCCTTGGCATATTGTTTCCTGTGTGTTGTGGTAAAATGTTCTGTGGTGTTTCTAGCTGTTCTGCTTTGCTGTGTCCATAGCTGCCTTTGTTAGATGTGCAGCATGTCTCTTTGAGCACAAACCTTAAAATATTTAATTTCTTCTCAAACAAATGTTTATGTGTTATGTCATGATTAGAGTTATGGAGACTGCAGCTGATATTCTTTTAGGCTTATTGCATTTTTTTTTTTATTTTGGCTGCTAAGTTTTTCTTAGATTTTTGTATTTTACCCTTCTGGCTATCTGTTATTCTCACACTCCTCTGAGAAGTTTTTTTTTTTTTTTTTTTTTTTTTTTACTCAATAACATCTAACTACCATAGTTGAAGTAATTGTAATTGATATAAGCCTCACAGAACAGAAAAAATAATCTTTCTTAAGTTCAGATTAAACTGGAAGAATATTTTACTTTTATTTTAATAACCTTAATTGCTAAACATCTTATGAAAACATTTTTGTAAAACCATACATGAATCTACACTGATATGTTTCATGAAAAACAACGTTTGCTCACTTTTGTGTTTGCTTTGGAACAGCTTGGTGGTTTTTTTCACATATCATCAGTTAAATCCCCCCTGTTCCTTCCTATGAGGAATACTTTCCTTTGTCCAATGGTACAATGTGCAGAAACTGATTAAAAACATCTCTGAATTTTTTTTTGTGGAAAGATTGTTTCAGGTGATGCAAGAAGATAATTAATTAGGAAGAAGCTGGGAAGCTACAAAAAATTATATTCTTTTTTTGTTTGCTTAACAAAATTCTGCTAAATCTTTATATGTTAAGATGAGGGCATCACAATTATCACAGCAATACAGGACAAACACATCTGTGGGGGAAATTTATGGATGTTCATTTTGAGGTTGGACGAAATAATAAAAACATCTAACCAGCATTTGGTGGAAGATTTAGCAGTTTTAACAACCGGGGTCAAACCAGCCTTCACAGGGTTTTTGTAGGTCATGCAAACACAGCTAGTCTCCCTATGAATATTAAAATAAAGGATTTATAATTATTTTATTAATAGTACAATTTTATATGATACATTATTTTTCCACAGTTTTAATAATTATTAAAAAACAAAACCCTCTGTTTTCAGTGACTCATCTCACTTGTAGATTCCAGTAGAATCTCCACAGCTAGTTAATTATCGTTTGATTTAAAATGTCAAAATTAATAATCTATATCTGTATTTTTTCTTTTGTCTGAATTGCTGCCAATCTTGCAACAAAGATGATTCCTTTGTATACTTTCACTTTAGTAGGTCAGAAAAACACTTACAGATGATCATCACATTTAGGTCACTATCAAAAGTCAAGGTTCAAGGGCTTTAATTTTGATATTCCACATCTATTGTTAATGCGCCTGATGAGGAACATCTGGAGCGGTCTGCTGTCATCTACTAGTGTGATCAGTCTCTGTAAAGAGAGTGTCTTTTTTTTTAAATAATTATGGCACATAAATAAATGGAAGTTCTTAAATAAAGAAACTCTAGAATTCTATCATAATTTTATTTGTTTGTGTGATCTACAAAGCCCGATGAGGGATGGCATGTGTGGCATTTTCAAGGGTTTTTACCACAGTTATTGAATTCCTGTCTTCTGTCAGTATTATTAAATACAAACTGCTGATAAAATCCCATTTATTTTGTTAGATTCACCTTTTTACATTTTTTACTTCTATTGTAGCACTTCATGGTGTATGTGAATTTCATTTTAAATAATATTCATTATTATCGCCATGGTATTATTTTGAAAACCATTTTTTAAACCAATTATCCATCATGTCATGATGGGATCAAGGGATCTAACCCACATGCAGAACACACACGGACTCAGAAGAAAAGTTCAACTGTTTATTGAAAAAACAGTTAACAGTTAATAAAGTTGATGCTGGGAAACAGATCCTGGGCTGGTCACAACGGGGTTCTCTGCAGAGAGGGACAGTTCGGTTAGCCGGGATCCAAATATTATTGTCTGTAGAGTTGTGCAGGTCTGTACCTGTTCTGAGGTTCAGGCTGAGCGGCAGAGGGAGGGAACCAGGAGAGTCCAGAGGCTGAGGGTCGGCAGAGGGCTAGGCAGCGGCAGGGCTTGACTTCAGACTTGACAGTGTTCAGGTTTGAGTTTCTTCCAGTTCTCTTCTTGAGAGCGGGCAGGCAGGTTCTGACAGTTTGATCTTCCAGTGAGCTCTTGAGAT